TCTTCGGGAGACCAGCAGACCAGGGAGCGGGGGAGCAAAGCCTCTGAGGATGCCAGCAGCGGGACAGCCGCGGCGCGTCTGGGCTCTCCCGCTGCCCGCGTGCTCCGCGGCTTTGCTCCCCGTCTCCCTGGTCTGTTGGAGACCAGCAGACCACGGAGACACGGAGCAAACCCCGTTCGTAACTGCGGATCCGACATAAGTCGGATCCGCGTAACTCGGGGACTGCGTGTGTGTGTGTGTGTATATATACACACCTAATTGTCTATAATGAGCAAAACAAACATTTCCTTTATCTTCACTGAATACAAAATGTCTTAAAATCATGGTAGGCTGAAGCTAGATTCAGTTAGCAATGTTTCTCCTGGCAGCAGCTCCTTTATGAAGATGTATTTAGGTATTTCTAATGCATCTGTCAGAGTGGTAGAAATGTCATACAGCAAGGCGAAAGGATGGATCAGAACAATCCACAATGGATGACAATCATATTTTCACCACTGCAGAGGACTGGGGGAATGACTCCAAGCCCAGCCAACCGCACTGCACCATGGGCGAGCGGGGAGCTGGTCCAGCTGGTTAACTGTAACCGTAAGGATCACCCTTAACGGGGGATGCTAACCCATTAACCATTCACAACCCTATTCCAAAATGAAAGCTACTACCAGGGCTCGAAAAAAATATGGAAAACCCTACTCGCCGCACCCCCCCCCCCCCAAGTGTTTTTTTAATGGCATAAATTCCTAATAAGAATAAGAACAGTAATTACTAAGAAGTTTATTAATAATATCTTATAAACCTCTACCTTTTCCCTCTGCTGCCATGTCTCCTCCCCTTGCTCCATCAGCTCCCCTGGTGCCTGCTGCCCCCCAACCCCTCACCCTCCTCTGCTGTACTGACTCCTGCCCTTCTCACTGCCCTCAGCCTTCCTAAGACCTGCCCCCCTCTACCAGCCCTTCTCTCCCTGGTGCATACTCCTCCGGTAGCCCCACTCTGATCAGGTAAGCTACCCCTCCTCATTCCCTCTTCTAACACCTCCCTCGCCTCTGTCCTCTGGTGCTGGTCCCTCCCCTGCAGGTGTCCGCCCTTCTGCTTAACCCCCAGGATCCCCTGGCACCTGCTCCGTCCTGGTGCCTCCCCCTTCCCTCACTGCCGCTGCCCCCTTTTTCCCAGATACCCACCCCCTCACCACCCTCTGCCCCCGTTCTCCTCATGCCCCTGTGCCCTCACACATGCCTTGCTCCATCCCCGCCTTCCTCATGCCCACCCCTTCTTTCAGGCCTTCTCCCAGCACCTCCCCTCCCCCCTCTAGCCACCAATGCCCTTACCCTCTCCTCTCCCAGCATCACTCTGTTCCCCCTCCCACTGACACCTCCCCATCTGCCCTTTTCCTCATTGTCCTCACTGGGCATTTGTCTCTCCTGCACCCCTGTCCCTTGGTGCCTTCCCCTTTCTTCTTCTTCTCCTCCTCCTGACTTCCTCCCCTCCCCTCAGCACAAGCCCCTTCCCCATATTTTTCCCCTTCCCTTCCCTCCGCACAGCACAAGCCGCTCCCCGCCCCTCCCCTACCTGACTTCTGCCTTCAACTTTGCAGGGTTGCCGGAGCCTTTTTGAATCTGGAGGTTGCTGGCCATGACAGCAGGACACCACAACACTCTAGCGTCCTGGCACCTGCCGGCGTCCCGCCCTCTGGTTCGCACCCCACCTCCTCGCGCTGGAGCTGCATACAGGCAGCTGGGTGCTGAGAATTGCTGCACTTCCCCCTTCCCGGCAGCGCTCTGCTCCTCCACCGTCCAGCGGATCAGATGGGGCCGCATCGCCCGTAGTGCAGGCATCGCCCGTAGTCAACGGCCCACCGGGCTAGTCCACCCCTGCACTCGCCAGCTGGTAAAATCTATTCGCCACGGGCAGGCGAGTGTATTTGTCGAGCCCTGGCTACTACAATATGGATGTGTACTAATGACATTTTCTAGAAGAAATAGTACTCTGCAAAGAACTAAGCTTTTTGGAAAATTTACAAAAAGCATTAGCCTTTCGCAAGTTCAGATGCACATAATTTTCTCATTTTCAATCAAT